TGGGTTACAGCTTCCATTTCTTCTTGGACAAACACAAGGCAGGGTAGAATTGACCTTTGAAGTAAAATTTTATTTTAAAAATTACACAAAATAGAGGTTTTACATGGTTGCCGTGTGGTAACTACAGCTGGATGCCTTCCAGAGGGTGCCCTGGGTTACTTACCTCGCTGAACTGCATACACTAATGCAAAAGATCCCTCAAACAAACCCCACACCAGTAGAAGAAATCCAGTAGTTGTTCCCTGTGTTTCAGATGTAGGTACTTCTCCAAACAACTAATTTCACAGACAACAGGTGAGAACAATTGCTATGTAGTACAGAGTTCACAGACAGTGATTTTGTTCCCCCCTCCCAGTCCTGACATTCCCATGAACATGACTACCTGCTCTGTATAGAGAGGGCTGCAAGGGCTATGACAATGCTCAGACTAAAGTATGAGCATCCAGGGATTTAACAAAACTGGGATGTTTGTAAACAAATTTAATTTATTGGCATTACTTACAAAATAAAGTTTTAGCTCGTAAGTTTCTGTCATGTCTGTGTCACTATATGGTTTTATTGTTTTATAAGGAAACAGAAGGAGAATTGAAGTACATCAGCAATCCCAGATTAATCAAGCTGCAGACAGGGTCCCACAGTGCCTTCCTGGCTGCTCTCCCATGCCTAGGAGGCCATGCAAACACGTGTGAGTGTTGGGATGTCAGTGACTGTCTGCAATGCCCACGTGCCCCAAAGTAGGTCAGATGCTGCCCCACACTCCCGAGGCCTCGGCATCACTGTGGCTGTGCCACCTGCTGCAGGTTCCTCTTGCATCCTGGAGATCACCTGACGCTGCTGCCACCGCTGTCAAGACTGCACTGTCCCTTTAAGATACCACATTCCACCGTAGCTCACGCAGCAGTCCTGGGGAGACAGGGAAAGTCTGGGTTAGGGTGCTCAGGCATGGGAATAGGTTGCCCAGGGAGGTGGTGGAGTCATCATCATCCTAAGAGGTGTCTGCATCTGGCACTGGGTGATATGGTTTAGGGGTTGCAGTGGTAGTGACAGATTAATGGTTGGACTGGTTGATCTCAAAGGTCTCTTCTGACCCGAGTGATTCTATGATTCTGAAGTCCCTAAGGTCTGGCTCTGGGACACTTAAGTGTGATCAGTGACAGAAGCCCCTCTCAGTGCACAGGAGAGCAGGAACCTGGAGCAGCAGGGTATCTCCACCCTGAAGACCAGACTTTACATGAAGTTATGAGTGGGGGAAGGTTGAGAGCCCACAAAGAGGACAAACAGTGCCATGGCAGCAAGGAACTGGGTGTCTGGGGGCTCGTGCAGAAGCCAGTTCAGGGCAGGCTGTGAGGAGGGGTGAGGACCAGGGGAACAGAGGAGTAAACCCAGGCTGAAGCTCAGGGGGAGAAGCTGAAGGGAGCAGTGGGACAGGGCTGGAGTGTGAGAGTTGCTGAATCTGAAGCCTTTTCAGATGCACTGTTCTAAGATAATGAACTGTCAAACCTCAGAGCCCTCATGTGCTGCTCTTCTGACCTCACAAGTGCTCAGGGTGGGTGAGCACCACAGCAAAGGAGTACAGGCAGTGGGTTGTCTCTGGCTCATTTCCTTCTTCCCATTAGATGAGCACTAAGTCTCTGGAGTTCTGAGCTAACAGCTTCTCTTTCTCTTGCTCCCACCCTCCCACTTAGGTAATTCAACACAGGCTCGAGTATTGCTACAGAATTGATGCTGTGGAGCTTAAATATATCTTAGTTTTTCCTTAAGTCTTGGGATTTGTGCATCACAAAACTGAGTAAGAAATCTGGCGTGGAGGCTAGACAGAGGGTTTGCAGACTTGCTCTGCAGATGCAAAACACAAACCCTATCAGTCTGTTCCTCTGTGTATAAAAAAGGAGCACACACAGATGGGGAAATAGGACTCAACAAATCCAATTTCATTCAAAGAGGAATCCAGTCTCTTGTGGCTTAAAGAAGCCAGAGAATCTTTCTATTGTATTAACTCATACTTATTTCAG